CATGGTGGTGCATGCCTGTAATCCCAGCGATTAGAAGGCTAAAAACAGAAGGATCATTATAAGTCTGATCTGTGTAGTGAGACCCTGTAGACCCTGTACTTAGTACAATTAAAAAAAATAAATGAAAGGGGCTTTTTTAGAATTATAGTATCCAAGATGGGAGAGTACACATACTGAAGAGCCACAACATCCAGTAGCTGCTCAGTCTGAGAATTTGGAAACCATAGAACAAAAGAGGTTAACGATGTACTGCCAGTCTGAGGGAAGGCCGGGAAGCCCATTTAGTTTTGTTCGTGTGTGTTGAAGGCAAAGGAGCTAGACTCTGATGTTCATGGTGATGACAGAAACAAAAATCCTACCCAGTCAAGCAGAACTGAGCTTTTCAGATTTGGGCAAACTTTCTCTTCCTTCTTTTCATTTGACCCTACCTACAAGCCTGTTGGATGGCGGTGGATCTCCCAGTGTGCCAGCTTTTGTTCCAGTCATTGTTGGATACACCCCATAGGCACAACCAGAGGTGTGCTTTATTGAGTAAAAGCCTGACTCTACTGGCTTTACTGTCACCTAGTAATGAATATGTAGTACTTCAGGCAAGAGCAGTCAGGGACTATCTCTGGTAAGGTCATTTTTAGGCTTCATCTTTGAGGAAATGAGCATGCAGCTCATTTCCTTGGATTGTAGCATGCAAAATACAACAGATAGAAGTTGCAGTAGTCCTGGGACAGTGTGCACTCATCATGAACCGGGAGAGCCAGTGACAGCAGATGGAGGGAGTTAGGAAGACAGTGGTGTAGTTCTGGGGTCATGGGAAGGGTGTTTTTCCTGAATGTTTATTAATTTTATTGGAATATTAACAAAGTATATTTGAAAGGAAGTTCAGTGTGGTATTTCAGTATGTAGTCACAGTGTGCACTCATCCTTAATCCCTCCTTTGCCTCCCTAACTTTGGGAAATTTGGGCAAGTGTGTCATGTCTCACTATCAATAGAAACCCATTGTGCTGGGGACATTGCCATATTTTAGGTTCTGTGGATACAGTGAACAATTCCTAGTATCTTAGAAATTACATTTTACATTCTTTGTGGTTGAGCTTGAATTTTGAAAGGCTTATCGTATTTGCTTTATGGTAGAGAGAGTGGCCATTTCAATGGACAAGAGCTGAAGTGAAGCTGTTGCAAAGTATCAGTAGACTATGACATTGTTACACTAATAGACACATACAGGAAGCAGTCTTGCAAAGAGTATGGAACAGTGCCTTGCACACTATCATAGTATTCCAGAGATTGTTAAGGAGTTGAAAATGAAGATCAAATCAGCAAGCTTTTCTGAAGGATTGCTTGTGGCTCATGAGGGAAAAAGAGAGAAATAAAAACTTATTTTAAGATACTTTACACAACTATAAAATTGGTAGTAGAAAAAGCAAGAATTTGATACTGAATTTGTTAACCTTGAGATTCTTTCAGATATCCATGTAACAAACATTATAGGCAGTTAGATGAATGAACCTGGCTGTCAGCCACAGCAGGGTTTCAAATACCTATCCTAAGCAGTTATATAGAGATGGTATATACAGTGATAGGTTCATGATTCATTAGAGAAGAGATCCAACTCCCAGGGACTCCTACATATAGATGTATGTCATGAAAGAGAACTGGTAGTAACACAAGGACATTGAAGGAGAAAGAATGTTCTCATATGATGACATGTTCTCATATGAAGAATGTTCTCATATATAAGAATATAGAAACAATTGGGGGCTAGGGATACAGCTCAGTGGCATAAGTGTCTGCCTGGCAAGCTCAAGGTCCTGAGTTCAATTCCCAGTTCCGCAAAAAAAAAAATAAATAAAAATAAAAATAAAAAATAAAAAAAATTAGGGTCAGCCAGATAGCTCAGCAGACTAAAGCGCCTACTTGGGCAGAGCTCAATGGCCAGGGTTCGATCCCCAGCATGCCCTGCCAGCCTTATCACTTATAAAGGTGGAACTATTTCTCACGAAAAGGCTATCATGAACTGTAGGTTGGTGATCCTACCAACAAAAGTCTGTGTTTATAACACATGCCTGAAGTTTTTCTTTATGCTTATGTAGTTTTGAGAAATAATAGCTTAGCTCTAATATGACAAACTTGTTGAATCAGCATAGTATATTAAATGAGAGAAACTGATGAAAGAGCAGCTAGTAGTTGTAAGCAGATGGAACTATTGCCATTACCCTGCCATTACTTGAGTATAATTTTCCCTCAGCATCCACAGGGTAATGGTGCTGTCTTTCCTTTCAGTCCTTTGGGGTCCAGGCTATCAGAGGTTTTGCCATCCGTGTTATATAGCTTTTACCGTTTTTCGGCAGGTGAATGACTAAGAGGAGGCGCATGTTGGGGATTGTATGAGAGGCTCTGTGATCCTTGCTCCTACCAACATGATATCCTACTTGATGGAAATTATTTTCATGTGCCCCTGTAGTTAATTTGCTAATATTTTGTTCAGATTTTAGTTCCTATATGCATAAAAGAGATTTATTCCTAATTTTATTTTCTTTTAAATAATTACAAATTTTAGTGTGAGATATACAATACCCTAAGTTACCCTAATAAAAGTATACTTGAAAGTGTTTTCTTTTTTTTATTTGATGGGTTACTTCTTTCTTAAATATGTTTTAAAATTTATCTGAGTTATCTCTGTCAGAAGTACTTGTATGTATATCAGCTTTTTTGTTGTTGATTTCTTTAGTAGGACTCTTCAGATTTTGTAATGACTGTTCAGTGTGGTGCTATGTTTGTTTTATAGTTTTTGAAATTTTCATTTCTGCATTTTTTGAGATTCTTTGATAACTAATAACTGAATCCATATATATATATATATATATACATATATATATATATATTGTTTTCTCTGCTGTACATTTTCCTTTGTTATCTATAGTGATTTTGTATTGGAACTGGTATTTGAAAAACTAGAAGGCCTCTATACAATATTAACACCCTCCAAATAGAGTTCATCCTCTCCAGTTCTAGACAGGGAGAATTGGTTAACTAATCATTTTACTCTAGTATAGTTGAATGAATAATAATAAAAAAAAAATGTAGAGGCTCAGGCTTGTTGAGACAGGTTTCTTTCTCTTGATCCAGGTCAGAAATATACAATACCATGAGGGAAAGCACCACTGCTTGTGTGACAGTATTTTCCCTCTCAGCATAGTTATCCTTTCCCAGTTGTTCTTTCTCTTTAAGTACTCATTGCCTTAGTACTCCCCAGTGCTTTTAAACAGAACTTCTTTTTAAATAACTTTTTTCTTTGTTTTCACCTGCTGTCCTCTGCTGCATTAGTGTGGTACAAACTATTATTTATGGAAGCTATGTTAAGAGTCAGAGTATTTTAACAGCAAAATAGGAACAGATGGATTTAATTCTTTTTTTTTTCCAGGAAAAACATAAACAAGAATTGGAAGACATGAGGAAAATGGGTCATGAAGCACTTGGAATTATTGTGGATGAATATAAGGTAGCAGTTTTTGAGCTTGTTTATTCCCTTAAACCTTGGAAAACTTCAGCAAAGACTGAACATAGAGGCTTAGGTAGTATACAAATTACAAACTGTAGCATATCCTTATTTTAGTAGAGAATTCTGTTCAGCTCATCAGTAAATATTCATTGCACAATGTGTTTAGTAGATTATGTGGTACTACTAGATTTTACTCTTCATTTATAAAAACTTTGAAACTATTTGAGAATAACACCTTAGCAGATTTGAATAGAGAACACAATAGAGTTAGTGGATATATCATCTTTTTTTGTCTCTTCTATGTATGATATAGGAAAAAAATTAAGATGTGATAAAAATCACATTTGTTTTTATATTTATTGTACTAACAAACAAAAGGCAATCTAGAGCTAGGGGTAGGGAAGCTCAGTAGTGGAGATTTTTTGCCTAGCATGCATGAAACATTAGCTGCAATGCCAGGCATCATAAAGAAATAAAAAATAACTGGCAGGCTGCACATGTATGATTAAATTATGATACACAATTCTTATAATGGAAAATACCACAGAGCAGTAACAAAATCAGGATAAACTTATATACTGACAGAAAGTATCTATAGATCACATAGGCTAAATGTAGCAAGAAAGGGTAAATTGTGTATGACCACACATTTTTATATAAATTAAGGTAAATAGCTTGGAGTACATTTCAGTAATGAAGTTATGATTAATGTCAATCAGTGAGATATAAAATTGATATATTTATGATTATTGTAAATAATTAACTACATGCCTACATAAATTTAGTCCTTTATAGCAAATTATAGATTAATTTTAAATTGCTTTTCTCACATTAGATTTCATATTAAATCAATGGTTTTTTGCAAGTAATAGAAAAGAACATTTAAAAAAAAATAAAATCATTTCTCCTCAGAAATAATCACTATTGGAAGTTTGATGTACATTTGTCTAGGTATGATCCCTCCATGTTTGCATAAATATACTGTCCTCAAATCATGTTAGTTTTGAGTTGTTTTTATAAGAAAATCTTATCTTACACAATTTACCCTTTCTTACTATATTTAGCCTATGTGATCTATAGACATTTTCTGTCAGTACATCTGTTTATCCTGATTTTGTTACTGTTCTGTGGTATGCCCCATTATAAGAATTGTGTACCATAATTTAATCATACACGTACAGCCTGCCAGCTATTTTTTTTTCTTTGTGATGCCTGGCATTGCTGCTAATGTTTCATGCATGCTAGGCCAAAAATCTCCACTACTGAGCTTCCCTACCCCTAGCTCTAGATTGCCTTTATAGTATGTTAGTACAATAAATATAAAAACAAATTCTTGTAGATATAGAAAATTTTTATTGAGTTTCATCATAAGACTTGATAGAATTTATAGTGTTATATTAGTTGGTAACTGAATGTCAGAAGTTCCTATAAGAAGTCATTTTGATAAAAGTAGAAAAAAGTGGTGCCTGTGGTTATGATAATGAATCAGCATGTTCCTAGATTATGGAAAATAGTTTATCATAGCATATCCAGCCTGAAGAAGTATTCCAAGGAATATTTTTTAAAAAAGAAAACAAATGTAGGGAACAAATCCTAAAATACCTGAAAGGAGAAGGGAGAAAAGTATAGACATGAATGAATACAGTATACTTTCTTTTACTTTTTGAACTTTCTAAGTTATGCATGAGGTTGAAGCAGAAGTCCTAACACTTTGATGTGGGTGTCTATATGAAAGAACACTTAGGAAAATTATAGTTTAAAAAAGTAATGATAAAGAACATAAAGTGAAGCAGGGATTCTACAGTTTACTTGAATTGATTAAACACTGATGATAATGCTGTGCAGTATTTTATTATGAATTTTCAAAATTTCTCTACTCCCTTTTCCACAATCTTTCGCATGAGAAAACTTAATGCATGGTTAAGCACTTTGAATGGAAGACTCTAAACTATAAAGCTATTTGGAGCCCAGACCATGTTCACATGCATGCATTTCAGAAATGATATTCCATTTAAAGTGTAGTATAAATTGCTTTCTCAATTTATTACTGAGATCATTACTGAGTTTAATCAATCATGTATTTTGATTCTTAATAGGAAAGTGATACTATCTTGATATTTTATGATCTTTATTTTAAAGCTTTGAAGTATAATTAACATGAAATTTGTTTTAAATCTATATTCAGTAGTTTTTCTTACATTCATAAGTTGTGCAGTTTTCATGACAGTTTTAATTTTAGCATATTTTTATGAAAACCTGTGTCTATTAGCAAACATTTTCCAATTTCCTCCATGTACTAGTGATCCCTGCTGTATTTTCTTAAATTTGTGTATTTATTTATTTATTTATTTATTTGGTACAAGATCTTGCTATGCAGCTTGGACTTGTGATCCCCCTGTCTCAGCCTCCTCAGTGCTGGGATTGCAGACATGTGCCACCATGCTCAGTTTTGATGGCTGGCACAGTGCACCCAGGGTTCCAGGGCTGGCACAGCATGTAGTACTGGGGCTTCAACCCACGACCTTATGCTTGCCAAGCAGGTGCTTAGACTGCTGAGCCATCTCCCCATACTGTATTTCTGTAGATCTAGCTCTTCTAGATATTTCCTATAGAATAATATAATTTATAGTATGTTACTGACTTATTTGTGTAAATTTTTCAATGTCATCAGTCTTTAAAGTCTGAGTAGTATGTCACACCTTTTTATTTGTAAAATATTCCATTATATAGATATACTATATTTTATTTGTGCAACAGTTCATAAGCATCTGAATTGCTTCCACTTGTTGCCTGTTAAGAATAATGGTACATGGATATAGCTATATTTCTCCCATGTATATGCATAGGGTTGAAATTCCTGGGACACATGGTTGTTCTATCTTTAATCTGTTTTGGAACTCCTTAATGTTTTCAGCTATACTGTTTTATATTCCTAACACTTGTTTCGGCTTCTCTGTTGCCTTACTGGTATTTACTATTCTATTGGTATTCACTATTTTACATTAAAAAATTAGTGAATTCGCTAAAAGTGTTTGGTTCTTTTTGAGTTAATTGTTGTATATGATGTGAGGTAGGAATATTGCTATTTCTTTTTTTTATTTCTGAATTTTGTAATTTGAGGTTTTTTCCTTGGTCCAGTTAGCTTAAGGGTTTATTTTGTTAGTATTTTAAAGAATTTTTTTTCTTATATTTGTGGTCTCTCTTTCATTAATTTCTACTCCATTCTGTGTTATGCTTACTTTAACTTGCTTTGGGATTATTTTTTTCTTTTTCAGTTAAGATTTTTAAAACAAATATCAATCTGAATAATGTACAATTGCACATACTAGAGATTGGGAAAGGGTAAGGAGAGAATATATAAAGAGGCTGAATTTGTTTAGGGCATGTGACATGCAAAGATTGAAATATACACTGAATTCTTGATATTTGTAATTAATGTATGTTAATACAAAATTTAATTACGAAATATAATTGACTTTAAAATATAATTCGATATTGGGAAATAGAACATGTTCAATTTGGAAGGGGAACTGCAGAGGAGGGAGGAAGAAGGGATGGAAGGGGAAAGGAAACTATAGAAACACAGCTTTTCTAAATAAGGAGGGGAAGAAAGATTGAAGGGAGGGGATAGGAATGGGAGGAAAAAGGAGAATCGAAGTATATCATATACAGAAAGAAATTCCCTATGATAATTGTGATCATTACGTATATAAAAAGTATATCAGTGAAATTAAATTGAAAAAACTCTGAAACTCTGAAAAAAAGATATAATTATCTTATTGATTTTATACTTTTCTTTTAAAATGTCATTTACAGTTATTAATTTTCTTCAAATGGTTTACTTTATTTTCGTTACATTGTTTTCATTTTCATTTATGTGACACATATTGTATATTCTTTATGCTTCTTGTGACTCAGTAGATCTTTAGAAGTGTGTTAATTTCCATAGAGATTTTTAAATTTTCTGGTAGCTGCTACTTTTTGCTTTAATTCCATTGTGGTTAGAGAACTTATTTTGGTGACATCAGATATTTTTAAATTATCGAGACTTGCTTTGCAGCTTAACTTCTGATCTGGACATTTTCCATTGACTTTTTAGAAGAATATGTATTATAGTGTTGGTAAGTTAAGTAGTTGCTTAGTAGATATTTCTGGATTTTTAGTGGTGGTTATATATTTTCTGTGTAGTGTTACTTGGCCAAATTATTTTATTCTGTATTGGAAGTAGCATTTTTAAGTTCCTAAATATTATTGCTGGATGATTTATATTTTCTTTTCAGCTCTTTTAGTTTTACTTTATGTATTTTTTGGTATTTAGCTAGTTAAATGTTTTTAATTCTTATATCTAATTGTTTAATTAGACATTTTTGTTATGTTTTTTAACCTATAAAATGTTTTGTTATGCACTTTACTTTTTCAGTTATTAACTGTTTTGCTGTTTGCATGCATGTTTCTCCATATAAAGTTCATCAAATGTACAAATTATAACTATGTATATGTTGTTTATGTAATAGCTTTTTAAATCTATTAAGAGAAGAAGGGAAAAAACACCCAATGATATGGTCATTTTATTTTTATTTATTTTAATCTGGTCATTTTAAATTGCCATCCTAATGACCTTTACTGAAAGTGTGCTTCTTTTTTCCATGTGGAATTGCCTGTAGTTGCTTGCATGAGTCTAAAGAGCCTTATTTAGTGTTAAAGTATTTTAAGTTATTGTTCTTAACAATGAACCTGTGTGTGGGGGAATATCTTTTCTCACAGCTTTCATTCTTGAAACATAAGTTTATTGTATATAAGTTTTGTTGTGGACAGCCAGTTCCTCATTTGGTTATATTTTAGCAGTTTGAATATCATCTTACTGCCCTCAGTTCTTCATTTTTTCCAGTAAGTAAGCTGTTAATCTTTTTGAGGTTTTTGTATGCTGTAATTTTTACAGTATTCCTAAGCTGTCTCTTTTTGAATTTTTATATTCACTGTGATGTATCTTGGTGTGTGTC